CGCGCGCGGGCTTCCATCTGATTGCAAACGCCACCAGCATCCTCCGCCGCCGCTCTCCTCCACGCCCCGCTAGGCCCCCGAGCTCCGTGGCATGGCCATCCCTTGCCTGCGCCCCCCCCCCCCCCCTTCCTCCTCCCTTGCTGAATCGGCCCAAAGATTGGGCGGCGGCGCTGCCCATCGCCATTGCGCGCGGCGCTACGCGCGCGCGTCTAACTGCGCGCAAATGCACGCCTCGATCCCGGGCCCGACGCCGGTCGCGCGCGCGGAACTCTCGCGCTTCCGACGCGCGCCATTGGCGGCGCGCGCCGAGCGAGTTGCAGAACGCCGCCGCCTTAACCCGCGGCTGTGCGCGATCGGCGCGCCCCCAGCGTTCGCGCGCGAGTTGGGCGCTGCTGCGCGTTGCTTCGTCGCGCAAGCGCTCGCCGCGCTGGGTGGCCCACGCGACAGCCGCTCCGCGCAGTCGCCCGCGCCGACGACGCGCGTTCCGCGCGCGGCATCTCAGGCGGCGCAGTGGTGCAGCGTCTTGCTGGAGCGTCAGAAGTGCGCGTGCCTGTAGCGCTTGGGCATGGGCGATGTCTAGGTCCCGCCCGCGCATCGCGCGCGCGACGACGTGTCGAGCGGGGGCCGTCGCCGCGCCCACTTCTTGCGCGCGTCGCGCTGAATCGGCCGCGCGATCGGCGGACGCCCCGGCGCGGAGAATTTGCCGGCGCGCAGCGCCATCGCAGCCGGCGCCTGGCGCGCGTCGGCGCTCGACGCGGCGGCGCCCGAGGCCGCCGCGCGACGTTCGTCGCGCAGCCCGCGGACGTCGCCCTGACGTGGGAATTCCCTCGGCGCGCGCCCCCCCCGGCAGCCTCGCGACGCGCGGTGGGCCGCCGAGTCGCGAGTTTAGCGGTGCGCGTCGCCCCGCCTGAGATGCGCCGTCTGATCGCCCGGCGACGTCCTTCGCCGCGCCCGCCCCGCGCCGACGTTCGCCCCAGTGGCGCGCGCGCTGTCGCTGCGGCGCGCTGACCGCCTTCGGCGTCGCGCGGGCCGCGCGCCTGCAACGATCTCCACCGTTGATTTCGGTTTGGGAACTGAGCAGCCGACGGGGGGCAGCGCGGCTCGGCGCCGGGGCTGCGCGCCCAGAAACTTCGGCACCGAGCCAGAGGCCGCGCGCCCAGAGCCAACGATTGCGCGCCTCGCGCCTCGGGCCACGAGCTCCAGCGCGGCGCGCGCGGAGCCCGGGGCCCGAGTTCATGGGCCCGACCTCCCGAGCCAACTCGCCGAGCCAACGGCCGCGAGTCCGAATCGCCCACTCAGACGCGGATCACCGACCCGGCCCAGCGCGCATTTTGCGCCCCGAGCCGAAAGCCCAAGCCCGAAGCCCGATGCCTCGCGCTGCGCCGCGCGCGGTGCCGCAACTGCCCCCCTCGCGGAAGGGGCCCGCCGCCGGGGGCCCTCTGCGAGGAGCCGCTTGCCCCGAAACCGCAGGCGCCATGCCCGAGCCCGAAGCATTGCCCCCGTTGCGGTTGGCCTCGGGCTGCTCATCGGCAGCCAGTTGACCTGGGCAGTGGGCCGCGACCCCGAGAAGGCAACCCTGGAAATTGCGCGTCCATGGCGCCCGCCGTAACCGTGAGACATTTGGGGCCTCTTTTCTGGAATTGCGTTTCGCTCGCACGTGCCGCGTGCGCGATGTCTGCCGCTCTTCGAGAGAATTGTCGGGGGCCGTGAGAAACGCGCCTTCGGCCAGGCGCCCTGGGCAATGAACCCCGGGCCCTCGGCCTCGCGCCCGATGCTTTCAGCCTGGGCCCAATGTCCTGCTGCAGAGGACGCGAACCTCGCACCCGTTGCCCTGCGCTTTGAGCAGCGCACCTTACGCTGTCGCCTCGGGCGCCGCATTCCGCGCGCCTCCCGGCTGGCCCAACGCTTTGCCCCGGGGCCCCGCTCCTTCGCCCGCGACCCCCAGCCGCCAAGCCGCGGGTTGAACATCCACTCGAAAAACGTGCGGGCCCTGAGCCTCCGACCTGAAGTCGATAGTTTGCGCCCTTTGTTGAACGCTGATCCGCTCCTCCGCGCGGTGGGCTCAAGTTCGTCGTTTCGGCCATGCGTTCGGAACTTGGTCTGCGGGGCTTAGGCGCGGCGTCATTTGCATTGGGTTCGATGGGTTGCGGCGTCAAGGCCTCGGGCCTGTGGCCGAGGACTCGCGGATTTGGCCGTGGCATAAGGAGGCGCTGGGCTCGCGCCCCAGGGCTTTGGGCGCGAGCGTTCTGGGGGCCGAATCTCAGGGCTCGGAAGCCGCGCCGGCGGCATTAGGCCAGGGCTGGAGCCATGCGGCCCAGGGTTCGAGGCTCATGGCAGAACGCATGGTGGCCTAGATCTTCGGGCCAGGGCCCCGTGGCTTGCGGCGCAGAGCTCGAGGCTCCTGGAACGGGGGCCCAGAAGTCAGGGCGCAGGTGCGATTATACGCGCGGCCCCCTGCCCCGCTGACGCCGGTGGCCGCGACCGCTGCCCACCCGAGTTATCGAGGCGTCGCGCGGGCGGCCACAACGTCGCGCGGGCGGGTTTCCGCGATCATTGTGCGACGCTTGTGAGCCTGTGTGGGTGCCTCGTGAAACATGCAATTTCGAAAACGCACACATCAAAAAGGAGGACTCAGCTGAAAAGCACTTGTGTAGCATTTTCTCAAAATCGTCGCTCGAAGGCCTGTAGGGGGACAGGCACGTCTCGGCCCAAGACGGAGCGCGGTGGCTCAAGGCAACCAACTAGGCCTTCAAGGCGGCCCAAGAGGCCCCACGAGGACCTCCAGAAGCGCTCGAATAGGCCGATCTCATGTATCTTCCTTGAGTGTTTGCTGGCGCTTCGCATTCTCACTTTTCAGGGCTTCCTCAGCTCAAGATAGCCAAGGAAACAGGATGGGCCCCCAAAGAACAGTTCAGGACCTCAATATGGCCCCAATGGCCCCCAACAACACTCTTTTACGAGAGTCGCAATAGGTCCCAAAGAGGTGATAATTCCTGCGTCCCGGGGCGAGAAGCGAAAGGCTTCCTCACGGATAGGGAATCCCAAGATGGCTCGAAAGGCTCCCAAAACGTGCGTCAACATGGCTCTAGTACAGTCAGCCCGTATCATACGGATACACGGTAAGGGTGCAACGGCCTTGGAACGCCAAGGTGACGTTTTTCGAGTGGGGCTGGCCAGCGAAAGTTGCCAAGGATGGGCCTCAGGGGCAAGGATGCAAGGGTAACCTTGGAAACCTCGCTAATCCTTGCTGTGCGGGTTGGTTGACTGTAGGCTCCAGATAAGCCTCAAAAAGGTTCGGATCATCAATCCCAGCTTTGACACCTCCTCTATGTCGCGTTAACTCCACCAACCTTCTGGGCGCAAGTGGTTCTCCACTCTTCCCAAACCCCGAATCCCTCTCCTGGGAAGGCGAGTTGTCTTGCCCCTGATCGATAAACACCCCCTCCCCCACTCTACTGGGTCCTAGTCAGGGTCAATGTCGCCCTCCCGCCATCTTGCAAGAAAACAACACAAAGTGCACTCAGCAGCAGAATCTAGATCATATTCGGGCGCCCCGCGATCACTTTTCATTGTGTTTGACAGTGGCGCGGGGGGCACCACATTGCCTAGTGTGTTCTGTGCATTTCCAACATCCCTGCCAAAGTCAAATTCAAAGTGCATGCTGCGGCAAAATCTGTGATCACATGTGATCACGCGCGGTCGCCCCACGATCATTTTGCAGTGTGATTTGACAAGGGTGATGGGGGTGCCCTGGCACGCGTGGCGCACCTCGCGGGCGTCACGCATCTGGCCGGCGCCTGCGTGATTCCCGATGGTTGTCGATGATGACCCCTGCCTATGCTGAGACACCGATGCTGCAACATGGCCCCCGACGCCCCAGAATGCCCTCCAGGATGACACAATACAACCGACAATGGCTCAAGATAGTCTCAGACATATCTCCGAGAGGCCCCACGACGGCCACAAAACAGCTCCAAGTGACCACTGATCCCCCAAGGACCCCCCCAAGAGGCCAAACTTGTCCCATAACCTTACGGGATCAATGAATATTGCCTTCTCGCCTTTTCGCATCCGATGGGCCTCTGAAACCCCAAACTATGAATCCCACGAAGAGCCCACAAAGACGGTCCAAGAATCCAAGAAGCCCCAAATGAAACCTCCAAGAGCACCCCAAGCGGCCCCCAAGATGCTATTTCTAGGTCTCCGACGGGGGGGACCCGAATTAGCCCCCCTCGCCCTTTTGAGCCATGGGGCCCAATTCCGCCCCAAGATGGCCTCGGCGCAAGACGGCCCAAGATGGCCGCATAACAGTTCTATTTAGATGGCCCAAAGAGTCCCCAAGGAAGCCCACGTGGGCCCCAAGAGACCCTCCAGGCCTTCAACAACCGAATGAGAGGTCACAGGTGTTTGCCTTCTCGCCTTATCGCTGCCGATGGGCCTCTGAGGCCTCAGGAAGGCCCCAAAATGAAACGAGAGAGCCCCAAGGAGCCCGGGAGGGCCCCAAGACGGCCCCAAGAGCGCAAAAGAGCTTCCCAAGACTGCCCACGAGACCCCCCAAACGGCCCCAGATCGCGCCAAGAAGGCCACAGAGGCCCTCAAGGCAGCCTCTGAAGGAGAATGCTGCAAACGGGCCAAGACGCCTCAGGCAGCGTAAAAAGCCCCACGGACCCCAAGAGGCCCTCCCCCAAGCTGAACCCAAGGGGACCACACGGATTTCTTGGCTCGGCGCTGGACGCTCCTCCCCCCGCCCCCTCCCCTGCCCGCTCGGAGCGCGCCAGTGGGCAGCGCTGGAGGCACCAGGGTGTGGGGACGGGGATCCAGCACCGACCCAAGAGATCCGCGCGGAACTCTGAGAGGTCAAAGCTCTAAGGGAGTAGCAATACAGTCGAAACAAGGACAAGGTCAGCTAGAAGGAGCGACCACGACAGGTAACGGCGGCCCCAGGACTCACTCGAACACCATCCCGAGCAACCCGTCGAGCCAAGTTCGTGCGTGGCTGCGATTCCTCCTTCACGGACGGGTCACAAAACAAGAACACGTACAGAGATGCAGGTTTCGCAAGAGGTCTCTCTGCGAGGCGGAACGAATGGGGCTCAAGCGCAACACGGCCACAACTCCGCGCTACTCGGAACGCCGGAGAGGCCCAACATGGTGCCCGACGCAAGAGTGTGGAGATGATGACGAAGTGGTCAATCGGTAACAATGGACCTTGACGGCTCGGAGACTTACCGTAAAGTGCATTGCTGAAACGCTGTACATATTCGCTTCGAGCATCGACGGCGCGATAACAGGATGCAGATGGTGACGCTGATCTGGGCTCCCCGAGAATCCAACCATGAAGAATGAGCTCACACAGAACTGCATTCGCAGAAAATGCTGGGACACATGCGCCCTTCGGGGAACTTATTGCGTTCGGAGTTCCGAAGCATGAGGTACACATCAACTGCGCGAGACGATAACAAACATGCGATGTGGTGAATGCCTGATCCATCGTCGACCCCAGAATATCCCTAAACATCGAGGCATCACCTAAACTAGGCAATACTGTGCTCACTGTATATCGGCATACTCCTCCTCACGCTCTCCATGACCTGCCTACTTCCTTCAATTTCGTACCCCCCATCATTCCCATTCAACCCGTCGTCCTCCCGGTTCCGCGTTTTCCTACTCCTCCGCTCCCCCTCCCTCTCTTCCCCCGCCTTTCCTTCCTCCACCTTGTCCCCCTCCTTCTCCCAAGCTCCTTTCCTTACTTCCGCGTCCTTCTTTTCCCCCCCCCCATCTCCCTCCACTCCGTCGTCCTCTCCCTCCCCCTCCCCCTACTCCCCCTCTTCTCTCATCCCTCCTTCCCCCGTCGAGCTGGGGGCCTAAAACTTGGCCGCTGCGGCTGATGTCGCTGGCCAGCGCGGAAATAAATGGATCCACGGCTGCAGCGGAAGGTGGTGACATGGACGATGCGAAAACGAACACCGAAGAGACCCTCTCCCCGAGGTATCACGCGGATACATGCGCAAAAGGCACATTGCTAAGTTGATACCTAGCGCTGGCGGTCCTGGGCGGGCGGTCATTTCCCTCCTGCCCAGTACCATACACGACCCGTGCGCCACCCCTCCCGCAAAACATCTTCGGTCTGCAGAATCCCTGATACCCGCTTGTTGTTTGCCCATCGCGCCCACTCAAGAAACGCATCGTTGCATCATGCAACGTGTTCACACGATGCCCTTCCGAACACAAGTGGGGAACCGTCGACCACAATGGGAATATGACAAGTGTTGGTCGGTTCCCCCCGAAATAATTTATGGATTACAGCCGATACAACGTGATCTACAAACGTATGTTTCCACATCTCTGCGCGTAATCGTAACAGGCCGATGATGCGCGCAATGTGTTGGCACCCTTGGCGTGCGTACCAATCATCGGCGATCAAATCACGACATGTGATACATATGTGACGCCCGAACACCCTGGAATAATGATCAGATGCGCCATCTTCAGCACATGATCTCATGTTACCGGTAACGCATGTTGTTCGGATGTGTCGCGCAAGCCCACGCGTGGGCTCGCGATGGAGCGCATCCGTAGACATGATATGCATACCTTGCAAACTTGCTCATTTGGGCGGCTCGCATCAATCAGTGCCCTGTCTCAGAAACCTCGGCGATTCGTGTAGTTGTTTTTTTGGCCGGAGCATAATTTACCAAACTTTGTATAATTGGCTTGCCACATCAACCTCTGCTGCAATAGGAAAGCGATCGCACCGCGACTCCGGGTGCACCCAGGTCGCCGAGTTTCTACTGAATGCGCGCGCTCGGAAACCAGGCGCCCGCGCACCCCGGGAAACCCCGCTGGTGGCACGCACAGCTCGCATCCTCTTGCCGGGACCTTACCTAAGAAACAGTGGAGGGTCTATCAGCGCAAACCTGAACTTAATTTACCCAACTTTGTCTGGATGGCCGTCTTGCTACATCGGCCTCTGTCGCAGCAGGGAGGCGATCGCAGTCTCTGCGGCAGCGCGCGCGTCCGCCGTCAAGACGCCCGCCGCGCACCCCCGCCGGTGGCTTGATCAGAACGCATCCCTTTGTCGGAAACAACCTAAGGCAAGCCAGGGGGTCTACCAGCACAGGCCAGAACATAATTTACCCAATTTTGTCTTGCGCAGTCATGCGGCGTCCACCGCGTCGGATAAACGCTGCAACGGCGCAATCAATGAGCCTGGTCCCAAGCTGCCTGGGCGGCGGGGCGGCGGCGACAGTGGGCTCGAATTTCTCCTGTGAATAACTGCGAGAAGCTGGCGTGGGAACCGTTTTGGCCGGCAGCGTGGGCGAAATAGAAGGCATTGCGACAGCAAGCAAAACAAATGGCGGATTCCCCACTGAAGTGAGGCGTGGGAATGAGGAAGTTGGACAACCAATCGCGACCGCGCACGGGAATGCCCCGCGCTGCCCAAGGTCACCTCCCTCATCCGCGGACAGACGGCGCAGCGTCGCAGGTGACCCGTGTCAGCGCAAGCCATGGCAGCCGATCGCGCGACGGCTGCCGGCGGGCCAAACACGTGAGGGCGCGCGGAGGCCACGGCGGGCAATCCGAACCCAACGAACTCCTTCGGAAGCGCATTCCAAGGCACCCGCGTCAGCATCTGCGCGCAGCGATAGCGCGCGGCGCGCGAGGCTGGTGGCCGAGGGCAGAACTGCAGCGCGGGCTGGATCAAAGACAGGCACATAACGTGGAAGGTCCGCATGCCGACAACCAATCCCGGGCCGGCCTCCTTTACATGCGCGGTCCAATTCATCGGCCGCGGGGCGATATCACCCCAGGCATGGGCCTCGCAGTCAGGGCCAGTCATGGCTCCAGCGCACCTCGCGAACCGAGCAACAACTAAATCGCGGAAAGCAGGCCCGAGAAACCGAACTGAATCCTGAATCGTCACCACCGAGGCGTCGCCCAAAATCGGGAGCACGCTTTTTTTCAAATCCAGTTTGAGCCCAGCTGGGCTTCCAGAAGTCCATGACTTCAGGGTCGGTTCCAGGGCCAGGGGCGCGTTCGGCGGGGGGGAAGTCAGGTCGTCCCAATGCGCAGTTGATTGTTTCATGTACTGGCTGCCACGATGGAGTAATCACCTCAGCGTCGGGTCTGCGGCCGGCGCGAAGGGACGCGTGCTTGCTCGACCCCCCGCGTCTCGTTCCTCGCCCGACGTCAACATTGCGTTCCAAGGTCCCCCCTCGCATCGTGGCGGACGCCTTCATGCTCGCACGGGGCGCGCCCCCCCCCACCCCCCCCACCCAACAAAACAAAAAAAAATCGCGCATCGCGCGCCCGCGGCGTCGGCGCCGCAAGAATCCGCGCGCTGCGAATCGAGGGAGAGGCCACCGCAGCATCTGCAAGTAGCTGTAGAGCGCGTGGCGCGCCGTCCAGATGCTGCTGAAACCCCGGAGTATCTGCGATCGCGATGTTCGAAGAGATCTGACGCCGACCGGCCCCGCCGCCCCGGCCCCCATGGACCGTCGAAACAGCCGGGGCATCGAGCGGAGCGCCGCAGGCTCGAAACGTGATTCTGACATCGGAGTCGCAGAGGGCGAGCGGCCGAGTCGCATCGGGGCCCCGCGTCGCACCCTGTGCCGTGCCATCGGGGCTCGTGCCCTTCGGCAAGACGAAAAAAACGTGTCGCACACGCTATCAAGCAGCGCCGCGCTACTGCTATCGTAGAGCAACTCGCAATATCATGTGATGATTCAAGCCCGCACTCCACCTGCCAGGCAGCAGGAGGTCAGCTGGCCTTCCCAGGATCAGCGCTACGACTCCACTTTGCGCGGTCTTCGAATTCGCTGAACTCGAACTTCCACTCGGGCCGTCGCCGCAGGTCGGCCCCCTCGACTCTGCTACAGAAACGCAAGAGCTCAGGCCACAGCAGACGATCCACGTGAGCTGTCTGGAATATTCCACCCAATTGAATAGAAGGTAGCCTCGCCCTCCTGGGCCTCAACGCAAGCCGCTCCGTCAAGAGTGCGGATGCCACTGAAGAGCACTCGACGTCGGAACTGCTACCGGAAGAGTCCGCTACGCCGAAACACTTTTTCTTGACGCAGTCCTTCTCCTCCTCCGATGTGCTGGCACCCCTGGGCTGCCATCCCTCCATCGCTGCCTCCTCCGGCGCGCTCCACTTGCAACCGGCCTGCGCGCGCAACGCCCGGCAAAGCGGATGTCAGCCATGGCTTCTACACCGACGTCTCCCTCCAGTACGGCATGCGCTGCAAACGCGCGCGCGAATGAAACTGGCCACGCCGCGCGCCCCGAATCGCGCGCGCGAGTTCGCGGGTCGCCTGGAGACGCGAGTCCTCGGGTGACCATGAGGGCGCCCGGAGGGATGCGATAGCACCGCGGAATCGCCGCCCTGTGGGCCGGCCCCACCGGGCACCATGCCTACGAACCAGAACTGCTGCCCCAGAGCGTCCAGATGGAGATCCTCCTCAGCGCGACATCACCACGATGATGGCTGCGTCGGCGCCTTGGCACTCCGGCCTGCGCAAGGGCGAGCGCCGCGCCGAACTGCGGGGCAGCCATGATGATGCTGTTGTCAATCTTGGTCGATATCGAAGTCGGCGAACCTGGTGCCAGAACTTGCGTTGTTCCACTCGGATGGTGCGATGTGCTCATAAGGGCAGCCAGCGCTATCGCACACGTGCCGAGGCACGGCGATAGTCCAGGAAGGAGCTTCGCAGTCATGCCTGGCGCGACGCTTCGGCCAGTGCCTGAGGATTTGCGATGTGTCGAGGAACCTCGTGGCGCTCCTGTGGGCGAGTCACCCCTCATCGCGGTTGCGCCTTCTGCTGTTGCTCTCGCGCTCGGACCGGGTGTCCGAAGCGAATTGCCGTCTGGCTTGCAAAACAACCGTGGGCATAGGCTGTTCGGATAATGGAAAATGATATTGCTTGTTTGATGGAAATGAACGTATCTGCGAATGTGCGCCCAAACCGCTCTTTTCGCACATTTCGTGGATCGCAAGCTCGGGGCGTTCCCGGCTGCGCAACCAACGAGGAATTCCACCGGCCCTTTGGGCGACAGGTGGTCTAACGAGGGTCTCTTTCCACTTCCACAACCCCTCTTTCCTTCGGGGAGGGGAGCCTTCCCCTCTCCTCTCTGGAGTTTTTCTTTGTTTTGAGGGGTCGCGATGTGTCGGGGGCTCCTTTTTTTCTGCCATTGGGAGGGTCATGTTTTGCCGCCCCATCGCGACGATCGTGGCCCCAGGGGGGGGGCGCAAACCTAGTGCCCCCACTCGTTTGACCCACCGCCTCCAAGATGGCCCCAAGAGAGTCTGAAATGACTCTGGTAGGTCATATTGCATCCAATTCCATGTCGAAGGAATGCGATATGGGGTGTGGATGGGTAAGATAGGAGAAGATCGATGTATAGATCTTTCCATCACATAACGAATACCAAATCAGGTATCCGGGCAAATAGGGCGCGCGTGCCTCGAGCGATGAGGCAGCGACGCGCAGGTTATACTCCCGATGATCTATAACATCTCCCAAAGAGCTAGCTACCCTTAAAAAGTCGGGAGGGGAGGAGACGGAGAGTAAAGCCGCGCGGT